TCTTAAGTGCAACCGGTGGCTATGGGGAAGTCTCAAACATCTCAGCACCAGATAGAACCAGCAGTTAAAGAAAGGAGATTATTAGAGATGAGGAAGGAAACACACACACACACACACACACACACACACACACACACACACACTACAGACATACAGGGAGGGGTGGGGGCCAACAGAGGGACACAGGACTCCTAAAGCTGAAAAATGCAGTCTCTTCTTGAGGGCCAGGTTTTAAAAGTCTCTGAAGCATTTTCCTCCCCTCATTTAGGGTTGGTCAGTCTGAAGAAAGTGAGCGCAGTTAATTGTCCTGGAACTGTTGTGTGATAAGTCCTGATCTGGCCTTTAACTAGGTGAGCTAGTCCATCAGCAGGGGCCTGCCAGTGGGAGACAAAAGGCAACAAAGCCTTTGTTTTAAGCTGCTAGGCTTTTGTCTCAAGGCAAGAGGCAGAGGAAAAAGTCAGCCATATTGGAAATTTATCCATCACTTTTATTATTAGCCATGGCACCTCTCCCTATCTGTCTGCCTACCAAGGAGTCTAACTCCTACTCTCTCACTAAGATTTCTGGTCCTACCTGGTGCAGGAATGCTAGGCATACCAAGCCTGGATGCTTGGGCTGTGGACTGTGTAGGTGAGGTGCTTGTCACCTGCTGCACTGGACTCTTAGTTGACTGGAATATGAATTGGGGCTTTGCCTCCTGAAATGGGGTAGCATTTATCTGGGGTTCCAGCCTTGTTTCTGTGAATAGTGCCTGGCAGGAGATCATTCACCTAATACCTGTGGCATGTGAGGCTCTAGCTTAGCTTCCTGCCTGGTCTGGCTTCTTGCGCTACAAGGGGAGGAATTGTTTCTTCTGTAGGCTGGAGCCTTCCCCTGCCCCACTGATCTTTGATGCTCCTTTCCAGGGATTTGCATGTTGGGCTTAAAGCCAAAATCAAGGTCTTTCCCAAACTAGCTCTGCCAGGCTACACGGGTTAGTTTGACTGTTATCAAGGTTACTTAGTGCAGACGGGGTTTTCTTATTTGTCTTTCTCTAAGACTTTGAATGCCCTTAGTTACATGGACAAGAAGGCAATGGCAACAGGAAGATTCTATTGATTGCAAGGCTCATTAAGGAAGGGCTGCAGCCACACAGAGGCTCTGCCAGCTCTTTGACTGTGTGACCTTGACCTACAGATACAACCTGGGTCTCAGTTTCCATATTGATAAGTAAAAATATATCCCCCCGTTCGTGGGTAACTCTGCTGATGCAATAAACCAATCTAGCTAAATTAATACATCCAGGTTTAATACACAGAGCAAAGCCACTTCTGGGTGACTCTTGGGAAGGAAGGGGAGGAATCACATGGCAGATCTGGTGACCAGGTCTTAAATACCCTGTAGGCAGGTCTTGAGCAGCCCCAGGGAGGGGCTGACCCTTGGTGGACTTTCTGAGGGGCGAGGTCTGGAAAGGGCAGGTCCAGGGAGCTGCTGCTTGGCACGCTGAGGTTTGGAATGGGGCCCCGAGCTAGAGATCCCCAATACATAAGTAAAATGGAAACAGTAACACCCTTCTTACAGGACTTGCAGGTAAATTAATGATATATCACTTGGGAAGCACATTTTGGAGTACACAGCACACAAAGTAAGTCCTTGGCACATGCAGGGCACCACATACCCTTATTATCACTGTGCTGCCCTCAAGTACCTCTACACAGCTTGTTTTTGTAACCTTTGTGTACTGTACAGTAGAGCAGAGAATAGACCCCAATCCTGACTCCCAAGCAACAAGATTTCCTCAGACTTAGAATCTGAGAGTCCCGTGGGAGTCCTTCAGAGCTCTAGGTCCTTGGGATAGGCTTGGCCATAGGGCTTCTGTGGGATTTGGCTCTAGACACTAGATGCTCTGGGATATATGAGGCAGGACATTAGGAAATAGTGGGCATTTTGAACAAGGGCTATTTAAATGAGGCAACTCATACCAGCTGCATAGAGGTAAAGGGGTCCTAGATTATCACCCTGTCTCTGCAGGACCAACAACATGGGTAGCTTGGCTGCCGCTGTGACTGAGCGGTGTAGATATTCATTCGTTCAATGGATATTCATTGTGTCTGAACCAACGTCAGTTACTAAGTATTGAGAGACTAATGAGCTGTGTAAGATGCCAAGGTTAGGCGAGGAAAGAAGGCGCAGTAACTCACAGCAGTTTTCCTTCTCACATGACTGTTGGCTCCTCAAAGGCTCAGCAAAACAGAGAGTGTAAATCTTCCATCACAGCAGACCTGGAGAGAGGCAGCGTTTCCTTAGTGCTGGCAGCCCTGCAGATGGAAGATCTTCCTCCTAACTCCACTACAAACCATTAAGCATCCAAAGCTCTGGCTGGCGTTCAGGGTGGAACAGGTACGAGGCCAAAGAACCTTGATCTTCTCCTGATAAGGCAGTGATTTGTGGAAGCAGCTGGTTACTGACCTAAAGAGGAGTGTTGGGAGGAGGAGGTAGCCTGAGGGAACCAAAGAGAGTAATAGCCATGGTGAGAAAGTCAGGGTGAGAGTGAATCAAAGGGATGCGGACTTGGCATTTACATATCATTTAAATAGCATGAATTTCACATGGAAACATGTGCTCTTCCCCGACAGCTAAGCTTAACCAGCCTGGGGACACTTCAGGTCTGGATTCTGGGGCTCAGGCCCTGGCACATCTATTGCAGAAGGACAGATTAATAGATGTCTGGTGGGGTTGGGGAGGGGGTGGTGGGCGAAGTCCGACCTGGCTCTGTGGCAGTCACACCCTTCTGGGTGAGTTCCTCTCTTCTTGTGGCAGGAAGAGTCACAGGACAAGAGTACCCTAAACACCAGGTACAATTTCTTTCTTCCTTTCTTTTTAATAAATCAAATAATCCTAGGAAAATCTTGAGACATTAAAGACACGATGAAGCCATCCCAGTCTAGGTCTGGGCAATAGTTTTAATTCTGGGGTCTTATGAACAGCTATGGACACTTTCTACAGAAAACATGGCTGTAATATAGCATGTCACATGTTTTCTAGAGGTTTCAAACCTTCTGGAGTTAATCTTGGGTTAGATTAGGAATCCTTCTGGTGGAAGTGGTTGGCAAATGCTTCAACACACACACACACACACACACACACACACACACACACACACACACACACGGCATGTAGGGCACAGGTTGATGTAAGTGCCTTTCTTAATCACTCCCCATTTTATTTTTTGAACAGGGTCTCTCACTAAACCTGGAGCATCAATTTGACTAGACTGTCTCGCCAATGAACTCCCGGCATCTGCCCGCCCATCTCCCCAGCACTGGGATTACATTTGTGCACACCTCACTGTCCAGTGTTGATGCGCATGCTGGGCATCTGAACTGAGTCTGCAGCAGGCACATTACTCACTGAACCATTCCCCCAGCACCACATCCTTCAACTTATGTCCCAGATTATTCAGTATCTGCCCTGTATGGGTCTTTCTGGCATGGAATTTGGGGAGAAGAAATAGTCACATTGTTTTATTGAGGTTTTATGATTTACCAGGTGCTTACTTAATCTTCATGAGACAGGGCAGGAATCACAACTCCTTTTGTAGATTCATGGAGATGGAGGTTCAAAGAGGATGTAAGAGTGTGTCCCAGGGTCTCAGAGCTTTTGAGGGACAGATCAGAGAGGAAAGCCACAGCCCTCTACATTGGAGCTCTTCTCTTTCATGAGGGCGGGAAGGGCCATTTTGTTTCTCAGTTGGACTCATGCAGTGTTGCTACTCCGTGCTCACTCCTGGCCCTGAACTAGATGGGATCTCTCCCTAGTAAGTATTTCACCCCATCACCATCCATGCCTCTTTGAACTGGGAGTTACTGGTGGGCACAGTCCAGGGTTCTGGCCTCTGTGGTGGACAGAGAAGAGGGTAGGAGCTCAAGGCCAGACAGAGAAGGTCCAACGTGCTTAATTGTCTTGGAAGGTCTACATGGGGCTATCTGAGGACTCCATATCTAAATAGAGAGACCACTGGGGACCTTGTTGTTTCAGTTCCCACCCATAAAAACTTTCTCTTTCTTCCTTTCTTTACTTGCTTCTCCCAACAAGACCCAAGCAGTCAGGAACAGGCAAATGTCTCCACAGCTGCCACCCTTCGGCCCTTTAGAGTCAGGAATTCCATAGCTGGTAGAGTAGACTAACAACAGGGCTAGCCTGGGAACCTGACTCCATTTCCCACTTCTTTGAAGAAAGGAGCCTCATCCTGTTGGTCAGACTGCTCTGCAGAGGTCTAGAAATCTTGCAAGTCCCTGATGCCACAAGAAATACTCACCGAGGAGGGGTCAGCAGCAAATTAATTCACATTTTCTTCATCTTTTTCCTTGTCACCTCAGTGCCTGCTGCCCAGAAACACATCTTTCTGAAGGTAAGATTAGGATGTGAGGGTGGGGTGGAATAGAGGGAGTGCTTGGCCAGTTTCCTAGGGACAGAGCATGGCAGACTGTCAGGAGGAGAAACTGGGGGTCTGGAATGGGATACCTGGGCAAGATAAGGGAAAGGTGCTGGGTGAGGCAGGTTGTACTTGATGGTGGCTGAGGGCAAGGACTTTGCTGTGGTCATACTCTATACTGTGGCAGCTTTTGAGCCATCTGAAAGCTGGGAAGTCCAGTTCTGGATGCACTTAGCCCTGAAAGGCAAGAAGACTCATGTGCCTCAGCAAAATGTGCCAGGACTTTCTCCAAGAGATGCCTTGCAGAGCTAGAGAATAAGGCTCCCATCGTTCCTTTTAATTTAGTTTTACTTTTGGGACAGGGTGCCCTGTATTCTAGACTATCCTCAAACTGAATATAGACCTAAGGATAGCCTTGAGTTTCTGATCCTCCTGTCTCCACCTTCAGAATGTGGAGATTATAGGCATGTCCCACCACGCTTGGTTTATACAGTGCTAGGGATTGAACTCGGGGACATGTGAGTGTTAGGCAAGTGCTCTGTCAACTGAGCTATATTGCCATGGCTATGTCTTGAGAGGCCAAGGTAGGCAGTACCATTTGAGGGCTGAGAGTCTAGCTGGTCCAGACTCCCTGGTGCCTGCAGTAATGAGAAGTGAGTCTATGTATGAAGACAGTAGGGATGGCAAAGGTGGATGAGGTAGGAATTAAATGAATCCTAGGCTGACTTTGTACTAGAGTCCCCTTTCCCACACATTTTCCAGCTATGTGGAAGACACTGATGTAATGGAGGAGATCCCTGAAGAAATCAGAAATGAGTTTCTGCTTTCCACGTGTCCCACCGTGTCTAAATGGGACTCTTAGGGAATGGCAAATGGGTATACAGCCAAGGTGGTCCCTGATGCATCGCAAATGGGCAGCCTGGGTCTGATGAACTTTCACAGCTTCAAAAAATGGAGAGGAAGGCAGCCACATTTTTATTTTGTAAAGACAGTAATCCAAACCAGAAAGAGGGCAGAAAACATTGGTGTCTGTCAAAAATTTTATTTTTGTCATTTCACACAGAATGATGTTAAAATAAATCCTCATTAATATATATTTATATACTTATTTACTTGTGTCAATATTTACAAAAGACTGTGGAGCTCTATGAAGTCTATGTACACCCATGATAAGGTGAACAGGCAATGTTCATTGAGGCACATATGTACACATATATGTATAATCTATGTACATACATCAGACCCTACTGACACAGGAACTCTCAGCTGCAGAAGTCCTGGGTGGGGCAGTGTTGGTGGGGCTGAAAGCTTCCAGAATATGTCAGCAAGAATGGTACATCTATACATCCTGTGCAATGCAGTTACAGCTGGTGTCTAAATTTTCATGAAGCAAACAAATAGTTAAATGACTTCCAACTCCCATGAGTCCTCCACACAAGTCCTGCTCCGCCTTCAGCTTTCATTGGTTCTCTGTCTGTTATCACCATGGAGACCTAAGTTCCCTTTCAGCATCATCCTTAGGAAGCTTTGCCATCAGCCTTGGAGTTCCTTTTCCTATTGATCCCAAAGAGGCTTATTTATCTTCCTCTCCTCTTTGAGTTTTCAGTGATTTTTTTAAGAGACAGGACACGGGAGGGCAGCTGCAGAGCCATGCATGAGCAGAAAAGAAGCCAGTGGAAACCCTAATTAGTCCATGCTGCATGAGCCTAAGTGAGTGGCCATTTCCACCCGGTGTGTATAAATAGACACGCATATATTTATACACTCACATATATAATATATATAATATATTATATATAGATATGTTCTCCAGAGACAGCCTATATAATAAGCACATAAGCACACAACAGCCCCCACTCATGAGCTTTACAGCTCTGTCTTTAATGGAAACAAGAGAATCCTCCTTGCTTGCTGGCACCATTAATCCTGGCTGTTCCAAGATTACCCTCAGTGGGAGAGAGGGGTGCATGGATGCAGAAACCTAGGAAGAGGCCAATTTGGCTGGGGCACTGTTTGCTCAGCAGGCTGGAGCTCAATCATGGGACTTTCCAGCTTCCTGGAGCCCTTCAAATGAAGGAACCATCCAAGCACGACAACAAAAGGAAACTGGGTCGCTGGCTCCCACGTGAAGGCAGAACTGGGGCAAGCACAGAGCATGTTCAAACTCTCAGGAGCTGAGACTCACCCTTGCCAAAGCCACCCAGGCCTCTCTTCTGGCTTCTCTATTCCAGTTCTTAGCCCAGAGCTCGTGTGCTCCTTTCTAGCCTCACCTGGCAGGTCAAAGTCTTTGTCCTACACTTCGTGAGTTCAGAAGTCAGTCACATTAGCAGCTCATACAGAAACTGTCTGCTAGCAAAGCATACCCCTAAACAGTCTCTTCCCTAAGCTCCTCCTTTGCTTTCTCTGCAGCCCTGAGTGTTTATGCAGTCAGACAAACAAGGCAGCAGTGTCTAGGGAGTCATTTTCAAGGAGAAGCAGGGCTTAGAGGCTTCTCACAAGGACCCAGAGACACGGCATGCAGTCCTCTGGGTAGCTACCTAAGGTCCTATCACCCAGCCACATCTCTATTCCCCTTAATTAGGTAGCTGCGGCAGCAGCTGTCCACATTATTATGTAATCACACCTGCCCTATGCATCCGTCAGTAGAATGATGCAAGGACTTCTCAGCTGCACACTCATCTGGAACATATCTGACTATTTTAGGAGTGTAGAAGAGCACAGGCAGTTAGATTAGTTTCCATGCTGAGGCTCATGCAGGATGAGAGGCGGCCATTATAGATAGGCCAACTGCAGCACTTGCCAGCTGGTCATGCTAAGTCAAGGGTAACGGCTTCTACTATGGGATGATGGCTCACTTGACCATATTGCCGAGCTTCTGGGAATGTGGGGAGATGACAGCCACCCCTTGTATCACCTCAACTGCTTCAGATACTAGTGAGGAATCCCTCCCACCTACTCCCAAGTAGAGCGCACACAGTCTAATGCAGGAGATGAGGCTGAGAAAGTGTTTCCCTCTGAGTTTAACACTGTCAGGCAAGATAGCAAGGAGGGCATGTTTAGGCTCCTACCCAGAAGTTTCTTGAATGGTGTATACAGCTCATCCCCAAGAAGACAAGTGGGTTTTAGTTGCTCTAGGCCTGGCCCTCTGCTCCCACTAAGTGGACTCAACTGCATGCTGGTTTAGTTTCATGAATGGCCACAAAGCCCTTTTTTTTTTTTCATTCTTCACTGAGGGTGTTTCAGAACTCAAGAAAGTCAAACCTAGGACTAACACTGACCAAGAGAAAACTAAACAGACCAGCCCAAGTCTGAGCGTTCCACTCTCCTACAGGTACAAAGTTGGGCATAACTTTTCAGGTCTTGAGAGATGAGGTTACAGCCAACCAAGGCAGACAGAATAAAGGATAAGAAAGCACCTGGCCCTGGGATCACACTTCCCTTTGATCCTTGAACCAGGCAGCCACCTGGCAGCGAAGGGAAAGAGGCGACCCTGAGCCTGTTCTTTTGTTTGAATAAATGCCTTCTAGATAGGTTCTTAAGCAGAAAAAGCACAGAGCTAGAGAGGTGGAAAGAACGCAAAAAAGGTCATGTTAAAATTCAAGTAAACGCAGCTTATTCCTTAGAATGCCAAATTTATTCCACACTAGTGAAACTGAGATTGGTTAACATCTATTTGTGTAATTTTTTAAAATAATGGCATACATATATACATATACTATACATATATACACACAGGTATATGTATATATGGAAAACCTCTAATAACTCAGGACCAATTAACTAAAACCTTTATCGACAGGAATTAGTTGTCTTTCTATACTTTTAGTAGGAAGAGGCAAGCAAGGGCATCATCTGGTAAGCTATGTTGTGCCCCGACTTTGCAGCCAGTGTCATTCAGCCTGTCTCTTTGGTCTGCTACACTTCTGTTTCCATACACCAAGCACTGAGGTTTAGAAGGTTGACTCTGAGCCATGCAAGGTCTTCTGTCTTCTCCAAATGCTCTACTTAACTAAGGCAAGAGTTTATACTAAACCTATTTAGGAAATACTTCCCAAGCACAAAGGCTGAACCACATATTTTCCCATCTCTCCTCAAGTAACTAGGATTGCAAAGCATCCAGGACACTCTTCTCCCTGAGATTTCCCAAGGTTAGACTATGCAAGGGTGTGTGGAGCAAAGTAGACTGAGAAGGATGGAATGGTCTCCTGGGGTTGCCAGCCTTCCCTAATTCCAGTCTGAATATTACTAGCTCACCTCACAGATGTTTCAAGAAAGAGGTCCCTTCCAAAACCCTGGGTGATATGTGAAATATTTGCACAGCTGCTCCCTGTAGTGAGAGGTAGGGTTTATTTTGCTAATGATATCCCCTGACCACACATACCTTTGTGCCTGCCCACTTCTACCCAAAGCCATAAGACTCATTTTGCCTGAAGCTCTGATAGAGTTTCTATGGTTGAGCAATTCAGTCTGTTGTGAAGGAGAGTCAGAGGGCAGTCCCCAAATCTGCCCAAGTAACTGATCCCAGGTGTACACCTCAGGGCTACATTCCCTCATAGTCATCTCCCTGGAGAGGGCTGCAAAAGAATCAAGTAATGGCTTTTAGTGCATGGAAAGGATCTTCTATAATGGCTCAGGATGCTTTATTCTTATCTATCAGTAAGCGCTCTCCTATAGGCTTCCATTACACCTGACAGACAAACACTAAGTCAACAAGATGGGCTGGCATGAGGTCACTCAAATGCAAGGTTTCAGTGCCTAGAAGTTTCTAGGGTGCTGTTAAAGAACTGGTAGGAAGGTGGGGCAGTGGAAGAGGGGTACAGAGACGCAAACAGAGAGAGGTGCACACAAGAAAGAGACAGTGTGACAAAGAATGCCTTCTCATGGGCCTTCCTCGGGCCGACACTGCACCTCTGTGTATATGTTCCTTCCAGAAGGAGGTCAGACCTCAGCAGACAGGAATCAGTCATGTGATCATGTGGGAAGAAGAACTACAGAAACTGTGAACCCATGTCCAGAGGTCAAGGACATTACCTGATGATCTATGTACTATCTATCATTTTTCAGTC